TCACCCTGCCCGGCTTCGCCTTCCCCTTCTTCCTCTGCCTCCTGACCAGCACTTGTGCTTCTCCACATGGCCACGTGTGGCTTCTCCACATGTGGCATAGCTTGCCCCCCTCAGGAAATGTAAGTAAGGAAAATCTTCTTTCAATCTCAGGGAGGCTCTAGGATGCCACTGTGGGTGGTTAAATAAGTAGGCTCTCAGGGCGGGCTTCCTGGAGGAGGTTGCCTGGAGATGAGGCGAGGCCTTGCAGTGGGATGGCAGAAGCACTGGTTGGGAGGCACAAGGGGGTGTCTGTGGAGAAGGGTGGGCAGCTCAGAACCGTCAGAACCAAGGCTGGAGGGAAAGATAGGAGAAGAGGCAGATCTGACCACGTAGAAGATCTGACCACAGAGAAGCAGCAGAAGCGATAGGGTCCACAATGCAGGGCAGGGCCTGTGGGTACAATTTAAAAATTCCGTTTTTTAATTCCTAGGAATAATTTCATTTTGTGTTAATGCCCTACGGGGGTTCAGGGTGGGGCTGCTTATGATGAAAGATCTAAACAGGGCCTGGTGGTCCACCCCAACTCTTGACAAGATAGCAGACTCCCCTGCCCCCTTCCCTTTTTGATGCTACATTAACAGCACCCATCCCTGAATGACCTCAGCTCTCCGCCTTCCCTCCCTCAACGTGCTACCATCAGCACCCCCACATGGCACCCCACACCCACCTTTCTGCCGCTACACGGCAGCCATGTTTCCCCTCCAGTCTCAGGGGAACTTCCACCATCCTGGTGGTTTCTGCCTCCTCCATGAACACTCCGCTCCCAGAGCCTCTCTCCCTCAGGATCAGCTGCCACACTGGCCAACTGGTTCTCAGCTTCATGGCATTTGAAGAACAGCTTCGGAAACATGGTGGACAGAGTAATAGCTGGGGAGTGGCGGGCTGCGGCCTTGTTCACTGGGGGCCCTGACCCACACTGCCGCAAGTCACACAGAGCCTTTTTTGGGGGCTGAGGGGTGGGGGGGGTGAAGTTGCCTCTTGTAATAATGTGGGTCCAGATCCCCGTCCTGTGTGCTGTACGTCAGTGAGTCCAAAGGAAGTTCGTGAACGCGTGCACATAGTTGGCGATTACTCATGCTACCTCTCGATTTCTTTCTTGTTGCCTAGAGCTGTTATTTACCTTCCAGAGGGTGGAATTTGTGGGGAAGGAATCTCACATTCATCAGGCACCCTTCTAGTTCTGATGAACTCTGAACTGGGCCATGGGCTGTGGGGCTTAGAATCATGTCCTATTTGCTCGCCCCCCACCCCACGGAAAGGTACCATGTGATGATTCACCAACACGCTCTGTGGGCCCACCCGCCAGTGCAGAGAATAAAGGGAAGCCATGCTGTGCTTGGCCAATCAGACTTCTAGAAAGAGGAAGAGCTTGAGCAGGCAGCTGGTATGGAAGAGGTGGCAGAGGGGAAGGGTGCGGGCAAGAGGTCTGGCAAGGAGGCCCCCATATTTCTGGCAGTCCACAGGCCAGCCATCCATGAGGAGAGGTTGAGGGTCAGGATTCTGGGGTAACAGGAGGATGGTGATGGATAACAGGAGGATGGGGGCAGCAGGGTATCCACAGGATACCCTGTGGGACTCCCCACAGGGTCTGTCAGTGTTGGGAGGGGGCGGGTTGTGCATGTTGAACCCTCTCTGCTTTCAGGGGAGCCCTGGGGACCCTGGAGCTAGATGGGATGGGGATGGGACTCAGTGACCTTGCACTTCTGTGAGTCGGGTGAGGGTTTTTGCCTCCTGAAGGATTCTAAGGTTGCCCCCAGGGCAGGAAACAAGTGTTTCCCCAGATCCCGCTTGGGCTCGGGCTTGGGCTTGCAGGAGATCTTTTGGAAAGCAGAGGAGAGGATCTGCAGCTGGGAGAAGAAAGGGAGGGAGCCACCAAGGGGGGCAGAGTGTCTGTTTCTGATACGTGGGATGCCGGTAGTTTATATCTTGGATGTTTTTGGTGCATATCCTCTCTAGAACCTGACTGATGGTTTAAAAAAAAATGTAAGTGATAAAAAAAGGAAATTGTGTGAAGGAGGATGAAACACTTGGCTTAACCACGAGGCTGGAGAGAGGATGTGGGAGGGAGAAAGTGACAGCCCTGCTGCTCTCCTCCTTCCTTCGCCTTCCCTCCTTCCCTCCTTCCCCTAGTTCGTTTTGGCTTAATCTTCACTGCCCTCCGGGGACAGTTCCTCCGACAACAGACACTTGAATGCTGGAATTGTTCTTAACAAGGCTAGGGCTTCTGGACTTTCCCCAGGCCCAGCTTGCTGTGTGATCCCAAGTAAGTGGCCCAGCATCTCTGGGTCCAGTTTTCATGCCCGGTGTCTCACCTGGAGTCCTGGAGCAGAGGAGTTTTGCCTTTTAGGTGCCTTGGCTTGCCAACCTCAAGATTTCCTTAAAAGTCTGAAAAGAGCAGAACGGGGGTCCGAGGAAGTGAACTCTCCAGAGTTTGGTCGGGGGAGCTGTCGAGCTGGCCCCGTGGGCCTCCACCAGGCCCACCTGGGTATACCAAGTGCAAGCACCCACCCTTCATTGTCCCAAGGCCTCGGATTTGACTTTCAAATGGAAAGCGTATCTCCAGATAAGGTGGGCTTTGTGCCACTAAAGCCTGCTTTGTTCAGGCTCCAGTGCTGGTGTGAGGAGGAGGCTGAGGGCTCTGTGGGTGACGTGGCTCCTGGAGCTGGGGTGGGGGGGTGGAGGGGTAGGAGGCAAAATGCTTCATGCACCTGGGCGCACGGCCGGTCCTGCCTCCAGCTCCCCTCCCTGAGCGCCTGCTGCTGCGGGCAGGTGCACCCCGTCTCCTGTCCTCATGCTGGGGTGAGAAACAAGGCACAGACAGGTCATGCAGCTCAGTTAGAGTCCCTTGGGCCTCCCAGGGACGGCTCAGTCATGCGTGAGCCAGGTCTTTGGGCTCCCTGCCCAAGTTGTCTTCCCACCTGTTGATTCTCTGCTCCAGTTTATCCCCCTGGAACGCCAGCCGTGGCCAGTGATTGTGGAAGTGAATTCACTCCCACTCAGGGAGGAAGAGTGGGGCCTCTGTGGGGAAAGTGAGAGGAAAAAGATTTCCTCTAATAATGTCAGCTCAGCCCCGTGACCCCTCCCCTGTCCCCAGGGTTCCGGAATGCACCTGAGGCCCTTCCTTCAAGACCCAAACAAATGAATCCGTAATGGTGAAGGTCACACGGTTGAGGTGGCCCCACTTTACTCCCTCCTCACACAGATGCAAACCGGCATGGCATCCTGGGGCCAAGAGATGAGAGACCCTTTTATAGGTGTGTGTCCACCTTAACGGTGCTTCCGGCTTCCCAGTGCTCTGGGGGACACTGTGGGGACATGTGCTTGGGAGAGGTGTTCTCAGCATGAAAATGATGTTTTCCTTCTCACTTTTCATCTGGAGGCTTGGTGTTCCCTCCCTGGGCAAAGTGAGTCCATTTCCGCACTAACCAGCTGCTGTAGGGGCTTTCGGGGGCAGGAAGGGGGGACCAGAGCTCAGGGACAGGTGCAGCCAGGATTCCCCCTTCCCACCATCCCATGCTTGCCAGTTCCACGCTGTAGACTCTGGTGGGCCCTCTTGGGTTCTGGGCAGACCCCAGGGAAGGAGCTCAGGCCAGCTGGAGCCTCAGAGGTGGTCTGGCTGCCGAGGCTCAGGGAAGGTGGGGGTTCACTCTTGATGCCCTCCTGAGCTCTGGCTGCACGGTCTTGGGGGCTGAGTTGGAAGGACCTATTATTCCCATTTTTCAGAGGTTGTTAAATAATGCATTTTGCTTCAGCCCTTGAAAAAAGCCCGTGCTTACTTCTAATGCTAGAATAATGACCTGTGTCACATGTCAGCCAGTGGGGCTCTTAATCCATGGCTGCATTCAAATATTGTGAAATATATTGCTTATGACCTTGGGCTAGCAGGAAAAATACCACTCCGGCGAGGAGGAAGGAGGGTCGGTTTTGCTATCTAGCTGGTGGTCTGCAGCCGGCCCGAGACATGAGCACATCCTATCAGCTCAGGCACCACTGGACACCCACTGCGTACCCAGCGCTTACACACTGGCTCCTGTTCATGCCCAAAACAGACCAGGCAGGTAGTCACTCGGGATTATAAAAGCGCCCATGTGAGGCCATATTGGGGAAATTCAGCAGAGTGTAAAATGCCCATAAGGGCCTAGAATAGACCATGAGCTCAATAAATGGGACTTCAAATCAACGTCATCCCCATTTTACAGAGGAGGAAAGGGAGGCCGAAAAGGACTCTGGGACTCAAAACCAGGTCGACCAGACTCCAGAGCCCAGACTCCCCTGTCTCTGGTGGGAATGGTTGTGTGTGTTGTGCACCCTTTCCTGTCTGGGCCTCTGTCCTCCTTCGACCTTCAGCATCCTCTTGTCAGCTGAGGGTTGGGCACATGCCCCCCACCCCACCCCAGTCCATATGAACCTCTTTCTTCTGCCAGTTCACAGTTCCCCTGGCTCCTTGCCACCCCTGACCATTTCCTTAGCACCTGTGCACTATGTTCTTTGGGTAATAATTACATGGACTAGTCCACCCACCAGTTTGATCAGTTAACAATCCCCCCCAGGCCCGATGTGTGAAGCTCAGAGTTAATGATTGCTGAGAAAATCAGCTCATGAATTTGAATCATCTGAGGAGGAAGTCAGGGAGGGAGGTGGCTTTGAACTATTGGGCCTGGAGGGGGGCTGCACCCAGGGTCTGGGCCTGCTCCTCGTGCCCCTCAGTGCTCTTGTACCTTCCTGTTCTCCAGCTCTTATCTCGCACCACCAGCATGCCGGCCCACTTTCTCACCCCGGCCTTTCCTGTGCGGTCCCCCTCCCTGGGGGCACCCTTCTCTCCTCTGCCAAAGCCAGCCCTTCCCCTCTCAAGCTTTACTTCCTCTGGGAGCCTTCTCTGACGACCCAACATCCTTGCTCTGGGCCCCTTCTCTGAACTCCCCTGCACAGCTGGGCAGGTTTCCTTCTGAGCTCTCCCTAGCATGTCAGGCACTGTGCGTGGTTCCTGGGACTCAACCGTGAGCATGGCAGGACCCTGCCGTCCAGGAGGGGGACACACACGCTGCTCTGGAAACTCCCGTGCAGGCCGAGGTATGACAAGGGGCTCCAGAGGACTCCCGGAGCCAGATGGGAGGTGAGGGGCTTGGGTGGACGGACACTGAAGGGGGAGATAGAATTTTCCAGGCAGACAAAGTCTGAGAGTAGGGCGTCTGGAAGCAGAGAGAGCCATGTGTAGAGGTGTGATTAGGAGGACAGATGATGATTCCCGTGTGGCTATGTGGCCTTTGAGGCACCTGTGAAACACCAAGCGAGTGTGTCTGGGAGGCTGGGGGCCTCTCAGAGAAGTCTGTCTCCTTCCTTCCTAGTGATCCCTCACAGTTGATTATGGTGTCTGTCTCCTCAGAAAGAAGGGATCTCTTTGAGGGCCGCCATGATTTCTGACCATCGAACTCAGCAAGGCCCGAGTCATGGGCACCTGCTCCCTGAGGGGATGTGGAACCGAATCTAAAATTTGCCTCCTTTGGGGCCCATCCCTGGACCCTCTCTCATTCGGCCTCTCTTCCCTCTGAGCACACGCTTTCCACCTTTTCCTCCCAGCCCTGGTCCCCAGCTCCTCGTTCTTTCTCTCACTGTTGGCTCCGAGTGTCTTGTGTCCTGAGTGGACCTAAGCCGTGTGGAAGTGGACAGTCCCAGAAGCTCAGGGCAGTGGTCCCAGGACTGGGCCTTGCGTGAGATTCAGCATTGGAGCTTGATAACCAGCCAGGTCTCTGGGGGGCCCCCACCCTGAGGATTCCGACTGCGAGAGCCTGAGGTGGGTTCACCTAGTCTGGTCTGCGTTTCCAGCCTTCACCTCTGGGTCTTTGGATGCACAGTTGAGTTTGGGACTTGATATGAGAAGAGGTTTTCCAGGCCCCTGTCTCGACCTGTAACTTCACCTTCCTCCCCAGGGTAGGTGCCCCAGAACCCACCTGGATATTTTCCAGGTGGGGAGCTCAGTGCCCATGGAGCGGGCCTTCCTCCCTGGGTGTCAGTGCCTCTGTGGTGTGAGCAGAAACCCCCCTCCCAGAAGAACCCTTTGAGGGATCTTGGTTCTGACCTTATGGGCTGCATGATCTCCTCCAGGGTTCCAGACCTGCCTCCCCAGGAGATGGGAAGGTGCTGGGTGCCTCGTCCTCCCCAAGTCCCCCTCCTTTCCTTCCTCCTTTGCTCTGGGCTTTCTTGTAGGCTGACAGCCTTATCTCAGACTTTCAGTTTCTGATCAGATTAGAGGCTTGGGAAGCGGGTGAAGATGGGATCTTGAGTTCTCCAGCAGCCTGACTTTTGACCCTAACGGTCAGGACCCACATTCACCTTCCATCGACCTGGCAGGAACTCACACTTTCCCAGCCTTGGGGGATGAACCCCCCTGTACACCTGCCCCGGAGGCCAGCGAATTGCGAGGTGTGGACACCCCAGTCTTCACCCTGCAGAGCTCAGTGCCAGACCAGCTCTGGGTGGGCTCTGTTCTCCCCTTGGACTAGAATGTCAGCGGTCTCAACTCTGGCTATGCTGTAGGTCACTGGGCTTCACCGGCTCTCCCTGACCTTTGGAGAGCTTACCTTAATTGAGCTGTGGTGGGCCCCACCAAGTACTATGTTTGAGAGCTTTCTAGGTAGTTCTAAGGTGCATCCCAAGTTGAGGACCACTAGGCTGCATTCCCAGAACCCATCAGGCCAGCTCTTGCATGGAGATAGTTATATGGGAGTAAAAGAGCCGGGCCCTCTTATTCTGTATATCCCAAATATTGAAATATTATTTTACATTATCTGTATTTTATACATTTTGTGAAAGCGTATTTAAAAATTTAAGTCAGGGGGTGCCTGGGTGGCTCAGTCAGTTGAGTGTGTGACTCTTGGTTTCAGCTCAGGTCATGATTTCAGGGTTGTTGAGATTGACCCCTATGTAGGGCTCTTGCTGGGTGGGAAGCCTGCTTAAGATTCTCGCCCTCTGCCCCTCTCCACCCCCCGTCAAATAAATAAATAAATATTTTTTAAAAATTTAAGTCCATAAAACCAAATATTTAATAATCAAAAATACATCAATGTAAAATAGGTAAAAATAGACATTACAGCTCTAGTCTAAACTCACAGATAGACAAAAATGATGCAATAAAACCGCTAAAATCTACACAAAGTACGTTGGTGGTACCATTGTATCTCAAGCATGTTTTTTTCCTATCAGACTTTTGAAAAAAAGCTTTTGCTGGCTCTCCCCTAGCCGGAGAATGGTGAGAAGAGAGATTTGTCAGATATCGTCGAATATTTTCCACTGACACGGCCTTTTGGTTTTTTTTCAGGGACTGCTGTCTTTTATTTGAAAGGAGCCATTGCTCTCCTTCCTGAAGCATTTCCGGTTTGTCCTCAAGTTCTTTGGTTTTATCTTGTTCAGATGGAGAGTCTGATGCAGCATTTCCTGTATCAGTTTTGGAACTGTTGTGTTGATATTCCACGTGTTAGGAAAGTCGGCGAATAGAGTAATGATCATTCTAGCAACAGAATTTTGCTTTGTCTGCCACCATGCACTGTCTGAGGAGGAGTTGAGATGTAGTTCACATTTCAAAGGTTTTGGATTTGTTTTGTTTTGTCTTGGGTTTTTTTTTTTTTTTTTTTTAATGTGATTATCTCCTTTTTAAAACATATACAAAAATTGAGACATTTGCAGAAATTCCATGCCTGACCTCAACAGTGACCATCTTGTGGCCAATCTTCCTTCCACCCTGACCCACCACCCCTGCTCCCAGCTGGATTCTGTCGAAGCTGATCTAAGACATCATATCATTTCATCTGTAATTCCTTCACAGTTCTTCTCAGTGAATAGGGCTCTTTAAAAAACACAGCTGTGGTTCTATGATTGCACCTTAAGAATTGATCATTTCTCAGTCATAAAATATCCGGCGTTCAGATTTCTTCAGTTGTCTTGTGCTTTTTTTTTTTTTTTTTTTTTTTTTACAGTTGGTATGAGATTTCAGACCTTAAAAATTCGCAAATAAACATTTTGGACCAAGGGAAAATACACCATTTTGGCACCGAGGTGTAAGGTTTATGAATAAAGCCTGGCAACCACTGGGCAGAAGGTTCTAGACAAATGGGCCAGACCCTGCTTTTGGGGTTCAGCGTGTAGTGGGCAATGGAAGTCATTTAGTTGTTCAGCAAATTATGCATTCAAGGGGCACCTGGGTGGCTCAGTGGGTTAAAGCCTCTGCCTTTGGCTGGGGCCATGATCCCAGGGTCCTGGGATCGAGCCCCACATCGGGCTCTCTGCTCAGCGGAGTCTGCTTCTCCCTCTCTCTCTGCCTGCCTCTCTGCCTACTTGCGATCTCTATCAAATAAATAAATAAAATCTTAAAAAAAAATTATGCATTCAAGCAACAGCGATACCGCGCCCGGTCCCAGCCTGGGCACAGTGGACACAGCAGTGAACCAGGCAGACTTGGCCAGTCTTGCCAGTGGGGAGCCAGGGCATTTCACTGTGAAATTTGCAAATAGGACAATAGAGACTCTTGCAAATGATGCTTGAGTTTAGTTTTGAAGAATGGGTAGAATTTCAGGGCACCTGGGTGCCTTAGTCAGTTAAACTTCTGTGTTAAGCTCCGGGACATGATCCTAGGGTCCTGGGATTGAGCCCCATGTCAGGCTTCCTACTCAGTGGAGGACCTGCTTCTCCCTCTCCACCCTACTTATGCACTCTCTTTCCTCTCTCTCTCTCAAATAGTGTCTTTGAAAAAAGAAAAAAGAATGCATAGAATTTTGTTAAGAAGAGAAAGTGGAAGGAGAGATGTCCCTCTCCTAGTAAGCAGCAAGTGCAAAAACATGGAGCATTCAAGGACAGAGAAGAGTGATGGGGTGTGATGGGGTGTGGGGCATGTGGCAAGACTGGTGGCAGGTGATGTTGAGGCTGGGTGGGCTGTGGAGGTCTTGAGGATATGCTAAAGAGCGGGGTCTTCTAGGGCCTCCAGAGGAGACCCTATGACTTTGTCATAGGAACGTAAAATTTGGACCATGAGTCGGGAGAGCAGAGCCTTGTCAAAACTATGAAGAGTTATTGGATTTGCAAGCCCTTCCTGGAGCCCTCCACTAGACCGGGAGCCTCGCATGCGGGGGGCAGGCTGATGTCTCTCTTCAACCCATGGCTTTCCAGGGCTGGCCTGGAGCAGGGCATTCACAAGGTGCTCACTATGTGACCACTGACTGATGACCTCCTGGAGCTCCCAGTGCAGGGCGCTCTTGTCCAGCTCCACCTTCACCATGGTCATGGCAGAGGGAGCCCCCTTAAGCTGCAGCTGGGGGAAGTAGGGTGGCTTTTCCAAAATGGGCGAGCTGTTTGGCTTTATGCAACTGTGTACCACTTACCCTGAATGGGGGACTTGAAGGCCAGGGTTGCCCCTGGGCCAGCAGTCAGGATGGGGCACAGGGAGGAAGGCTCAGATTCGAGATTCTTAGGTGGTGGGTATAATAGGAAAGGCTGGTCAACCTGCAGATTGGCTCACAAAGCTAATTTCTCCAAGACTCGCCAAGGGTTCCCTTATTACCTTTTAACAGCACTTTTGCTTTGGTGAAAAAAAACAAATGACACATGCTCATTGTGGGCAAACTCCAGTGTCATAGAAGAGGAGGAAGGGAGTAGAGCACATCTCTAGGGCTGACCACTGCCGCCTAGAGGGAGCCACCTTGAGCACTTTGGGGAACATCCTTCCAAACACTTTTCCGTACATAAACACAAGCAGTTAAATGTAACACAGTTTTATGTGGCCTGTGTTACAAGATTTATGCGGCCCCATAACCTGCTTTTTTCATTTAACAACATGTCATGACACTGTTTCCTGTCAGTAACCACAGATCTGTAACATTTTTAATAGCCGCGCCATGCAATTTTGCATGGCTTGACCGTAACTTACCGGGCCAGTTCGCTAATGCCAGAAATTTGGATTGTTTCCAGCTTTTCACAATGTGCTAAAGAGTATCATTCAGCTTTTTCAGATGTGCAATAATCACCGAGCAGTAAATATCTAGAATAGCCAGGATCCCTGGAACAAAGGAAGGGCTTGGTTCATT